AATTTTTCTGGAAGACAACTTAGCAATATATTTACGTAGGGTTTAGGAAGTATCCATACCTTTTGATCTACTAATTCTACTACTAGAAATTTACTCTAAGGAAATATTCATAGATGTGAACACATATACAGCTGTAAAGATGTTAACTGAGGCATAATTTAGAATAAAAAAATTACAAACTACCTTAATGTTAGAGAAACAATATATGATAATGATTATGAGCATAGGATCTAGAGTCAGACTAAATTCGTATCCTAGGTCTACCACCCACTAGCTATGTGATCTTGGGCAAAGTACTAAATCTGTCCTTGCTCAATTTTCTCAACTGTAAAATAAATCAACAGAACGGCTCTTAAAGAGAGGCTAAAAGACTAAATGAGTTAAAATATATAAAGTGTCTCAAAAACAACTAGGATATAGTAAATGCTCAACAAACACTAGACATTATTATTAACATTCAGTAGTAGCAGGGCAATATTATTTAGCCAATAATGTAGAACCATGTTTGATAAGTGCTAGTAAGCTAAAAAGCAAAGTACAAAGCTAAATAGCAGAGTACATAATATAATTCCATTTTCTGCAAAGAAAAAGATCTGGAAGATTATTTCCAGGTAATATGATTATTAGCGACTATTATGTTCTTTAAATTTCCCCACAGCTTTCTAATTTTCTACAAGGAACATATATCACTCATCACAATAAAAACAGTACACATATTTTGATTATATTCTATTTAGTCAATAGAATTTAAAAACGCCACAGCTTTCTAATTTTCTACAAGGAACATATATCACTCATCACAATAAAAACAGTACACACATTTTGATTATATTCTATTTAGTCAATAGAATTTAAAAACGAACACAATACAGTACTTTTAGAAAAAATTAAATTAAGGTGACTATTCTAAAACATCTGACAAATCTCTGCTCTAGGCTCATGTTATGCCTGGGAATTTTTTTTTCTGGTTTAAACCGACCAGAAAACAGAAATTTTCAGAGATCTGCTGGGTGCAAACCAAATAATAATACTAAAATGGTAAACATTTATGTTAAATACAGTGACCTGAAATGCTAGTAAGTTTCTTACTTTACATTAAGGCTACCACTTACACATAAAGTGTGCACAGCAATCCTTCTCCAATCTTGAATTCCTTATTTACTTTGAAGAGGGCAAATTTTACTTCTCTCAATTATCCTCCCCTCCCCAACGCCCGCGCATGTACACACACACACACTTCCTACTCCCATTTCCTGCCTTACTTTTCTTCATTGCACTCAGCAAAGTTCAACTTCTGGACATTTTACTGTCATTCTCCCCCACAAGGACAGAAGTTTTGGGTATTTTGTTCACTGGTTATAGTTATATGATTAGTGCCTGGACCAGTTCAAACTATAAACACTTCACTGGAACTTTAGAAGAGGAAAAGCCTAAAATGCTTCTAGTGAAGAGAAGTCTTCTCTCCTCCTACCACTTTGGTTTTCAGGACTTAATAAACATGGTTATAGAAAGAATGCTACACATGCATTCCCTGTCTGCATCATGCTCAGCAAATTTCATTAATTTTTTGAAGTTTTCAATTACATTCCCTAAAAAAGTATTTCAAATTCACTAAAGCGTAAAGTCACCGAAGGTTGCATAAGTTGCGAAATTTATTATCTTGACCTACCTAATTCTTACATTTAATCAGTCATTCTTAAAGGTGCCACAAAGACATTGGAGATGGAAGACTAAGGAAGGAAGGGTGGTAGGGTGGTGAGTAGTGTCCAAATACACTAATGTGCTTAAGAAAAAATGAAATGACAAAGCAAAGGTTATCAATGTCCTCCTAATGGCCAGTGTTGGTGCCTTGTCATTTTTGAACCTCTACACTTGAACGCTATTCTTTCCCAATACCAACCTCTCACTAGTCAAGTACTCTTCACACTGAAAACTACAAGTAATTTAAGTATCTGGATTCAAAAACTTTGAAGTGATAATCCAAAGCAGTAGTTTCTTTTGCAGATATGGAATGTCTTTTTCCTTTGAGCTATGTACCCCCCCCCCCAAATTAAAGGGACTACCAGGGCAGATTATTTGTTGGTAGATGGGATGGTAGGTCAGTTCTTCTCTATTTTCCAGCCTTTTTATATGGATTATTTTGATGGTTTAATTTTGATTTAAAATTAAGAGCAAAAAAGCTAATTTATTTTCCAACTCACTGGATAAAACAAAGACACCCCCCCCCCAAAAAAAAGGACTAAGCTAGGTTAGTTTGAAATTTCTCATTGAAGCAAGTTGGAATAAGAACAGGTAACATTTATTAGGCACTTACACTAAGCAGCAGTCACTGTGCTAAGCACTTTATATTACACACAACAACACTATGAGATAGGTACTATGATTACCATTTTACAGATGAGGAAACAGAAGCTTGGATAATTAAAGTAACTTGCCCAAAGTCATACAGCTATTTGGTGCTAGAGCTGGAAGCAGGAGATCTAACTTGAGAGCCTATACTCTTATCCACTATAGTGTGAAGAAAATAAATAAAACTTTTATTAAAACCACAAACAGTTTTTCTAAAATGAACATGTGTTAACGAAGAAAATTATCTAAAAATATACAACAGTTGGTTAAATAAGTTAAATGTCTACCATCTGGTAACAGACCTCTAAATGTCTACCATATCATTACTGAATAGTTCCACAAGTAAATAACTAAATCACTGTGCCTTGATGTAGTTGTGAAATTATTTTTTAAATGAATGTATCAAAATACTATACATTCTGCAAATGAAATATGCTGCCCTCTCAGAGTTGTGAAAATATGTCATTTCTTGATCTATTCACCATCCTATCACTTCCTCCCCCACTTCCTTCCTGCCTTCATATAGTCTAAGATTAGTTCAGTTTCTCCTTCTCAAGAATACCTGTGTGCACACTTTACCCAAGAGATTTCTAACACCTGTGTCTGTGATGTATAGCTGTAGATGGTACAAAGTCAAAAAATGAACTCAAGTACAGCATTTCTGATGCATCTTCAACTTTAGATCTACTCATTTACAGAATTCTAAACAATCTTACTTTTCTGTTTCACAGTTGGAACCCTGACTTTAACAATTAGCACACTTTCTTCAAAAATAGTTTTTCCACAAAATTTTCCACAAATAAATAAGGTATTAAAAAAACAAGAATACAAAAAAAGCAAATGCACTGTTAGGTGGTAATATATCACATTTTTAGTAATGTAATTAGTTTATTCTGAATCATTTCTGGAACTTGTTAATATAAGTAAATATACTATATAAAAATGCTAGTTATATATCAATGGACTAATATGTACTTTCATTCGTTCATTCAACAAATATGTATTGAATGCCCATATAAATTATTTTTTTTTAATTTTCTGAGCCAAGATGACTACCAGATAAGGGCATAGGCAATGAAGTTAAAAGTATCTTGATTTGAAATCTCGCTCTGGTACTCACTAGCTGAGACCTAGAATAGTCAGTTAAACTCAAGGTTAACATTTCACTTTATCTATTTGATGGGAGGACAATAAGTACTCCTATGGTCTTTGTGAGCTTTAAATAATTTTTTAAGACACTTAGCATAGGGCTTCCCTTGTAGTAAATGCTTGATAAATGACAACCATGGTAGATAAATTTTAATACTGAGGATAGCTGAGGGAGATGGCCAATAAATGTTCTTGTCTTACCAGAAAGATGGAAATTCGTGAAACTATATATTAAAGATACACTAAAACTAAAAATCGTAAGATAATGTAAGAAATTTTTCACTTTTTAAAGAGAGATATACTAACTATATAGAGTAAAATGACTAAAAAATAAAAATAGTAAAGAAAGAAAAAGACAAAGCCTTGAAAGCTGCTGATGGGTGTACATGATTATATTTTTGTGAAAATACAAAAATGTTTAAATTATAAATCCAATCCCCAGAACGTGCACATTTCCTCATATTCAGGAGAGATCAGGATTTTAGCTTTGAGAAGTGTCAAAATATTAACGGTACCCCCTTGCTCAGTGCAGGTCAAGTTTTCTCAAACCATTACACCTTTCATTACAAAGGTGAGAAAGGAAATAATTATTAATGCATTAAAGGGCAAAAAAAAAAGGCAAGCTTTCAGCTGCTTATTAATATTACATCAAAGCAGCAGCAATGCACATTTTTTCCAGGTTCTTCATAAACACGAAATGCTTCCACTTTACTTTTGAAATGACAAGGGAATCACAGGCGCAATCAAAAAAGCAAAAGGTGAGCACATCAGAGTTGCCACTACCTTTAAATTTTGAGGGACATCATTATTAATTCGTGTAAAGGTTTCATGTGATGTTTCTAGGTTGCTTTTAGGTTTTATCGCTGATTAGCAATATAGCAAACCAGCACAGGGAGAGAAGGAAATTAATTTCTTTGAGAGGCTTAAGAAGCTTAACCTACAGAGTCTATGCTACCCAAATTAAGCTGACTAACAACACAAAATTTCAAATCACACCTTGCCTACCTCTGGGTAAGCAAGTAAACATTAGTAAAACAAACTAGAAGTATGTAGAAAAGCAATCATTTTGTGCTAACCTTCATTCTGAATATTTTTTGATAAAGAGGTTGTCTATCAAAAAATACTCCTAATTCATTATTAATACAAGTTTCAAGTGAAGCATACTTGCCATCAGCGACAAAGCAAAAGATTTAATAAATCCAAACAGAGCGTCTTTCTACAGAATGCAAAGCCAGCTGCAGTTTCAGCCTCGGTTTACCCATTCACTACGCACATGCAGGCGTTTTCGTTGTTCTGTTTTGTTTTTTTAATAAGCAATTAACTTTACTCTGGCCTCAGAGATTACATCCCTTCGTGCTTCCTGTATACCCTGGAAGTCAATAACGCTGAAGCCAAATTTTAACATTTCCCAACTTTGGCTTAACGCGAGCCGAGGACGCCAAGCATCCGCCCACTGTCTTCTTGTGACTCGGGCTACTTCGACGCACCGCGATGCGGCTCACCTGACATTCCGCACCAGCCTCTGCCAAGAAGGAAAACCAACTCCGCGAAAATAAAACGGGTCCCCGAGGAAGCCTGCGGGTGGCCCTGGGGTTCTTTTGCCCGCATCCCGAAAGCGAGGGGACCACGCGAGCTCCATCCCTCCCACGCAAGGTCCCTTTAGCATCTCCCACCCAGGCCCTGTCAGCATCCTGTGTTTTTCTGTGGCCCCAGGAAATTAAAGTCCTCAGAGAAATCCAGCTCCTC